TTTCTTTCAGGAAACTTTTGAGCATAAACTCGAGAAGCCAATAAACAATTTTTATGAGATTCTCCAAGGGTGAAAATCATGTCAATACGCTCTTCTCTTTGACAATTCTTCATTTTCACTTAGCAACACAATAATAATATTAAAATAACGACCAACAAGTCTACAATTACAAAATACAATACCATTCTAGCTATCAAAAAGAGACTTTGCAGTCTAAACTGAAAAATAAAATAAATGATTTGGCATGTGTAGATGGCATAGGCAACTTAGATAGTACTGTAAATGGCATAGGAACCTTAAATTAAACAACACCAAATTGTGCACAGAACGACTATTTGACGTATTTTGTAAAAAGGCGAAAACTTAGCTATTAACATCCTAATACCGTTCGATAGGTAATTAAAAATTGCATTTCCTGGCAAGTTAACAATATGGGGTTGTATTTAAATTAATCAAGTTAGAACCACTTAAATTTCTTATTTGATTAGTTTAAATTTGTGGACACCCTGTATGACATGGTAAGTTTATTATCATTGGGATATAAAATATTATATCTTGTTACACTTCACTATAAATTACGCTTACATAACTTAAATTCTTCTAAAGTATTAAATTCGCATTAATTAAAAAACCTTAAGATTTAGGTGTTATAAACCTTATTAAAACAGACACTTATTTGGTTCAGCGAATCCAAAAATGCAATAATATATAGGACATTCTATTTAAAAAAAATGCAACTTTGATACCTTTAGAGCTTTTGGGACACCCTGTACATTACAAAAATATTTTTAAAATGTGCGCTCGGTAGGCGTCGGACAATTCATAAAATTATACTTTAAAAAAATCAAACGGTTTAGCCGCAAACTTCCGTGCCGTTTTGCGTGAATAACCCTGTAGAATACAAATGAAATATGAATAGCATTTATACTACAAACAGTGTTATAGTTTTATTTTAAGACACTTTTTTAATTTTGAGAAGATAGATCGAAGACTATTGTTTTTTGATTTGGTTTACTTTGGGCTAGCTTGGGTTAGTTGGATTTAGTTTGGGTTTGTTTGGGTTAGTTTGATGGAAGAATAAAATAGCCAGAAAGTTCCGAAATATTGCAATTCTAATTAACTCAAAATCAATTCCTGGGTTTCAGTCATTTAGTGTCTCTATTTATCAATTAAAATACGTTTCGGTGTATTTTGTTTTGTATAAATTGCAGAAAATGTATGCCAAGGCTTAAAGCAGCAGCAACGCTACACATAAAAACTGATGATGGTGGAAAAATACACCGAAACGTATTTTAATTGATAAATAGAGACAATAAATGACTGAAACCCAGGAAT